CCGCAGTTGTTAAGCAAAACCATTTCCCCCGTTGACTTTGCTTGACGGAAGCCAGTTGGAAGGGTTGCAAAGGGCGATCACGTGACCTTGAGATGCTGCAACCATTGCCCTTGACCAGGGGTAGTCAACCTTGGCTCTTTTATGACTCGTGGACTTCAACTCCCAGAATTCCTCAGCCAGCCATGCTGAGGAGAAATGGAGAGGTTTCCATGCTGAGCCATGGCTGGCTCAGGAATTCTGGGAGTTGAAGTCCACAAGTCATGAAGCAGCCTAGGCCTAGGCTAGAGGTAGGCAACCTCAGCTCTTTTATGAAACGTGGACTTCAACTCCCAGAATTCCTCAGCCAGCCACGCTGAGGAGAAATGGAGAGGTTTCCATGCTGAGCCATGGTGGCTCAGGAATTCTGGGAGTTGAAGTCCACGAGTCATAAAAGACCCCCGGTTGCCTACCCCTGCCCTTGACTTACAACAGTTCATTTAACGACGATTTGAAATTACAACGGCACTGAAAAAAGTGACTTATGTCCGCTTTTTCACACTTACGACCATTGCAGCATCCCGGTGGTCACATGACCCAAATTCAGGCATTGGCAGCTGACTTGTGCTTATGATGGGTTGCAGCGTCCCGGAGGTCACCTGATCCCCTTTTGCGACCTTCTGACAAGCAAACTCAACGGGGGAAGCCAGATTCACTTAACAACCGTGTTGCCAACTTACCAACTGCAGAGATTCCCTTAAGAACTGTGGCCAGAAAGGTCGTAAAACGGGACAAAAACTCACTTAACAAACGTCTCGCTGAACCGCAGAAATTTTGGGCTCAACTGTCGTCGTAAGTCGAGGACTGCCTGTTATCTTCCGGTCGTTGCTTGTCTGAATTTTGATCACACCACCGTGGGGAGGCTGCAACAGTGGTAAGCACGAGAACCGGTCATAAGTCCCCCGTTTCGATGCTGTTGTAACTCTGAATGGTCGCTAAGTGGAAAGGTGGTGTGTTGTTTTTTTCGATGACCAAAGAAAAGTCCCGTTCTTGATGTGGCTGGTGGAAGTTGGTTTAGGCGTCCTCCTGGGACTGCATCTCTACTTTAACCCCGAATGACGGAATTGCTCATGAGCTGGGAGCATCTTCTGCGGTGACCACAATCCGGGTTTGTAACCCCGCTGGTTTAATTATGCGATGATCAACTTCCGAGTAGTCGGGATGCTCCGTTTGGGAGGTCTTGTGTTTGGACCATCAGCAACCCCCCCCTGGACATCAACTAGGCTGGAAATTTAAAAAAAAATCATGCAGAAGAGTAAGGGCAAACCACATCCGTGTTATTACCTAGAAAATTTCATGTCCAAATCAATGGCGGTCAAGATTGATCTCAGGAAGACTTTATTATTTCTTATAATAGCAGTAAGCTCCTGGTGGGAATGCCTTCAAGGGTTTTGCGAAATTGACTTCCCAGTGGACAGTTGCAAGATAATGGATTAGCTAGCAAAATTACACGCAAGACGTGATGCGTTCTTCTTTCAGCGCATTTGCTACAGGCTTCTGTAGTTTTGCATCTAGCAGGCATGAATTCAGACCGCGTGTTAAGTTAAATCCAAACAAGGCATATTAGGACATAGGCAAGGTGTGTGGACCCAAGTAAGATCTGGAATGGTTTGGTTTGTGGCATCAAACTCCGTGGCTTCTTTAGATGTGAGCAGTAGGCCGTGATGCTCAACAAACCATGGCTTATCATGATGTGTAAATTTGGGCACTGTTTTAAAGTTCTATTGAGCGCATTTACGTAGCAAGAAGATATCTGGAAGTACATCTATAGGGTCCTAGTCAATGCCAAGTTTTTTTCTCCAAGTGTCCCTATTTTTCTCAAGGGGAAGGGAAGAGAAGAGAAGAGAAGAGAATAAGAAATAGAATGGAATGGAGAAGAGAACAGAGAATAAAATATCGGATAGAATATAAAAGAGAGAATGGATTGGATTGGATTGGATTGGATTGGAATGGAATGGAATGGAATGGAATGGAATAGAATAGAATAGAATAGAATAGAATAGAATAGAATAGAATAGAATAGAATAGAATAGAAATAAGAATAGGAAAGAATAAGAATAGAATAGAATAGAATAGAATAGAATAGAATAGAATAGAATAGGAATGTTTCTTACGATCACAGACCAGAATTGCAACTAGAGGCATGTTAAAAAAAAGAGTAAAAATAAAGTAAAAATACAGAACAGGGTAAAAATATTGCAATTGGTAGTGCGTTCAAGAAGCTGTCGTAAAGGCAGACCGATCTGCAACCCTGTTAATGGCTTAGCTTGCTGATTGCGTGCAACGCTGGATTCTTAGCACTTCAGTGCTCTGTTTTTTTTCCCCCCTTCTGCCTGTCCCCTCCCAAATTCGGCCAGCAAGGAGAATAAAAACATCCAGCTGTATCTTGAGCCAAGCTCAAGCAACACCTCCTCTTTGCTGGGAATGAATTTTTCTGCTTATCACTTCCTGTGAGCTGCAGTAAATCCACAGGACCTGGCAGTCAACCCCATGAAGTTTCAACGATGAATGGAGCAGGGAGGAAATGAGGAATTTCTCCATGCACAATGAAAGGAAATCTTGTAAGAAACAGAGCCAAATGCAAAGCTTTCTGAGCTTATTGCTTTCTAGCTTGGGGTTTTTTTAAAAAATATTCTTCTTCTTCTTCTTCTTTTTGCATGCAAGCACCCTTTGCAAGGCTTGTACTGGTTACTAATGTCTTGGGAAACAGTGAGGTCATTTACACGAGGATTGTGCCTGAATGACAACTAGGTTGCTGTGTTTGTCAGTTGTTTAGAGAGGATTTTAAAAGACCAGGGATGAAATTCCAGTGGAAGAGGGATGGCTCTGTTGAAAGAAAAATCTTCATCAGGGTCCAGTCCAAGCCGGGAATAAGCAAAATGGAGACTGCTTTAGAAAGAAGGTTGCAGTTTATTGAAGAGGAGAGAGGCAGACAGAAAGATGGCTCTGGAAGAAAGAAGAGAGTGAGCACATGTAGGGAGTGGGTTTTTATACCCTCTGGAGCCTTTTGTTTGGAGTTGTTCCTGTGGCATGAACTTTGACCTGAGTCTGAGTGTGCCTTTCTGGTAGTCTGATAGTGGTGGGTTAATCCTATTATGTCCCATATCCTGCTTCCCTGGGGCTGGGGCTGATGACTATGTCCTGTGTTGGATTTTTTTGGTGTGAAGGATCGTTGATTCTAGGGATCTTTGTCTTTCTAATCCCATCAGCTCCAAGCTTCCTGGCTCCAGTCTTTCTGACAAGATGATCACATCTGCATTTCTGCAGACCTGGTTTCTATCTGGGGCAGAAAGAATTGGGGGGAGGGCGGTCTCTGCCTTTAAGATCCTTTGGGGAAATATAATATTCTGCCTTTTAATATTCCCCAAAATATTTCTTTCTCTGGAGGAGGGGGCTGACTTCCCACAGCTCGCATGCTTTTCCCATTAAAGTTGAAGCTGTAGGCCCAGATTCTTACTCCTTCCTTATTTCAGATCACAGCATCTCTGTTCATTAGTTGGATCCGTTTAAAGACCAGTGCTCAGAAAAGTAATGACGGTGGCTTTGAGCAGGGGGTTGGACTAGAAGACCCCCCAAGGTCCCTTCCAATTCTGTTCTTCTATTGTGCTGTCATTCTGACCTCTCTGCTGGGTAGGGTTGAATTGCCTAGCATACTATTATATCTACATACATGTGGTCCTTGACTTACGAACACAATGGAGCCCAAAATATTTACTGTTAAGTGAGACATTTGCTAAGTGAGATTTGCCCCATTTTATGACCTTTCTTGCCACAGTTGTTAAGTGAATCACTGCAGTTGTTAAGTTAGTAACCCGGTTGTTAAGTGAATCCGGCTTCCCTATTGACTTTGCTTGTCAGAAGGTCGCAAAAGGGAATCACGTCGTAAATATGAGTTGCATATTTGCAACTCATATTTGCAAGTGTCTGAGTTTTGTTGCCAAGTGTCTGAATTTTGATCAAGTGATCCTCGGGATGCTGCAACGGTCGTTAAGTGCGAAAAACAGTCATAAATCACTTTTTTCGGTGCCGTTGTAACTTCAAATGGTCACTAAGCAAACTGTTGTAAGTCGAGGACCGCCTGTGGTTCAGTTCAGTGAACTGGTTTACTGTCCAAGGCCAATAACTGAAAACACGCCCTTCGTTTTCACAATGTCACACTGCCTCTCTGAACTCCACCTAAAGAATTAGGACTCTTTTTTTTTTTTCACCTATTCCGAAAGCGAATTCCGCAGAGAGGGTGAAAATTATTGGGTCCACGGTTTTGTGACAAAACTGGACATCAGTACATTTTTCACGCGAGGACCTATATTTTGGGTAGTGTTTGTTTTATGGTTGTGTGAAATCAAAGAGCCAAAGTCATAGCTTTGGAGACTTTGTTTCAATCAATAGATGCAAAAGTCACAATAAACCCTGTTTGATTTTTCTTCTAGGCTGGTGGATGACAGATGTGTGGTTCAGCCCGAAGCAGGTGATCTTTGCAATCCACCCAAAAAATTCCGAGGTAAGCACTTGTTGGAATTCATTGTTGAAATGTGTTTCTTTGCAACAACCACAGTAGTATTCAGCCAGTAGATGGGGGTATTTACAAGTTTGGGTCTATGGTATAAATTCTCTGCTCTTTTGCCCTAAGTAGAGTTTCCTGTTTCCTGTTACAGTTAAGCAGTTGAGCAGTAAAGCACATGGTGAGTGTGCTCTTTGTTTGCTCTGTAGTGCTTTATATAAATAGAATTTCTAGCAGCACTGAAAACATTAAAAGGATTGTAAATAACAACCAATTGTAACAACTGCCATTGTTACAATTGTTATTGTTACTTATACTACAATAGAGATTCTCAAAATCTAGAGTCCTTCAAGTGTGTTGGGAATATACCGCCAAGAAATTCCCATCAGTAGTTGCCAGGATAATTGGGAAGTCTGAGTATTTTTACTCTGACATGCTTGGGCAACATTAAGGGGGAAGCTCGCTCTGAATTATTTGTACAGTCCTTGATTACTACCATTCATTTAGCAACTGTTTGAAGTTACAACAGTGCCAAAAAATGTCCACTCCTCAGGCTTACAACTGGTCTTTGCACTTATGACTGCAACCTGCATGGTCACCTGACTGCAATTTGGTCATTTGGCAACCAGCTCACATTTACCACCGGTTGTAATGTCCTGCGGTTATGTGACTGCTGCTAGTGACCTGGTTTCCAGCAGAAAAGCATCCATTTGTAAGAATGGCTTCACGCTTATGAGTGGGGATTCACTTAATGACCACAGCAGTTCATTTAATGGCTGTCATGAAAATGGTCGTAAAATTGGGTCGACTTATGACCACAGAGGGGAGGGGGAAAAATAGGAGCTCACAAAAAAGCTATAAAATTTGCTAGTCGGAAAAAGCGCTACCTAATTCCTTTTGTGTCTCCGAGCTTGTTATTTGTGTCTCTGCTGTTGATCAGTAAATATTTTCTTTTTTTTTTCATCTTAAAGCCACACAGTTATGTGTTTGGAAACTTTTACAAGGTTGACTTAACAAGTTGGACTGGTGGCAACTTAGGTGTGCCTAACAATTCTTTAAGCATTAAACGGTTGCAAATTTTACCTGTTATCCCAAAGGTGCTTTTTTCCAAAAGGCAGCTGGACTTCCTTTGTTTTTCCTTGAAGAGGTTTTGCTTCTCATCCAAGAAGCTTCTTCAGTTCTGGTGGAAGATGGAAGAACTGAAGAAGCTTCTTGGATGAGAAGCGAAACCTCTTCAAGGAAAAACAAACTCCAGTTGCCTTTTCCAAAAGCACCTTTGGGACAACCATGATCTGGATGACGGAGAATCTCCACGTTTACCTGTTATCGTTTTCCCCCACTGTCCTTTAATTTTAACTCCAACAATTAATTTTGGCAGCATTTTGTTTCCTTTTGTCAAAATAACGTTGTTGTTCACACTATTCCCTGTGCATATTTTTCTGGAACCATAAACTGAGATGCGTTATAGTTCTGATCCAGATAGCATAAACTCGACGACAATGGTTTTAAAAGATATTTATTGTCCAGGAATTCTAAGCAGAGACTTACTTTGCAGTAGATACGTCTGGTCATTTGCATATTTGTCCATTCTCATAGGTAAAAAGAACTGATTCCCCCATCTCAGCTAGGCATGGTTACGGATACCAATCGATGCATGCATGATGTTTGTCGACGCGTGCATGATATTTGCTAGACAAAGGATTTTTACAACCCTGGCACGTAGCCCGGACATCCTGCGATGAACTTTGAAGCCCCTTCCACTGACTAGATAAGATATAGGACTGACTAACAACTAGACTATATTTCCTAGAAGCCATCTCTTAAGGAGACAGCATTAAACCTTTAAATGCTAAATGCTCTAACACAGTTCTTTTCTTTCTTTCTTTTTATTGAAAAGTTTTATAAAAGTTACACTATAAACCCCAAAACCAACCCACCCTAACCCCCCCTCCCCCACTTCCCAGAGCTGAATACAGGGTTACAAATATAATAATCATAATCTAACTAACATTAACCAACTATATAAATAACCAAGTCCATAATGCGCTTTAACTCCCCTTTAACATAAATATAATAATAATAATTAAAACATAAACAAATTAGTATCCTAATTATTAAACAATAGAATATCCATATTGTNAAATTGATTTATTCTTCCTACCCCAATTCTTCTTCTAAGAAAAAAAAATCTAGTCCAGGGGTGGGCAACCTTGGCTCTTTTATGACTCGTGGACTTCAACTCCCAGAATTCCTGAGCCAGCCACGCTGAGGGGAAAGAGAGAGGTTTCCAAGCTGAGCCATGCTGGCTCAGGAATTCTGGGAGTTGAAGTCCACATGTCATAAAAGAGCCAAGGTTGCCTATCCCTGATTCTAGTCCAATTCTTTCCCTGTGCCCTTTTATGAAGACTTATCCTTCCTAGTGTTTCCCTCTCTATTTTATTCTAACGTTAACTGAATGTGAACAATGAACACCTTGTATAACCACCTTATTTACACGGAACAAGTTGAGGGGATGAGACAGGTGCCAGCTACAGCTCACGTGATTTTGACTTGACGCTATTATTCCTTTAACCAGGGTTCAACTGAGTAATAGAATGAACGAAGTTGTGTATGACGGAAAGGAGCTCTGAGACCAATTTTATTATTATTATTATTTTGCCTTGCTGATTTGCAAACTGGAAAGAAGAGAGAATCAAAAAAAAGAAACCAAGTTAGTGTTCCTTTGTCTTTAGTCACTGTTGCTAAAGAAGGAGGAGAGACAGGGAGGAATTGATCCGAGCCAGACAAGTATGGATGCTTGGCAGATGTTCCTCAGTCCTTAAAAATCACCTGAAAAGTGGCAAAGTTTGTGGGAAAGAAACTATACATTGACAATGCCAGCTTCACACAAAGAAAACTTATATAAAATGTTTTATAGGTGGCATTCGCCACCAAGATTAGCAAAAATGTTTAAAAACATGTCAGAGAAATGTTGGAAATGTAAACACAAAACAGGTACTTATTATCCTATGTGGTGGACATGTGTTTAAAGCAAGGAGATATTGGACAATAATGCACATTTGGTTAGAAAAAATGTTAAGAGAAACACATAGACTATAAATCTGATTTTTTTTTACTAGGTATGATGCCAGAAAACGTGATAAGCAAAGTACATATTTGATTCTACATGTGATAACTGCAGCAAGAGTTATATTTGCACAATATTGGAAGAACAAAGAAATACCACCAGAAGAAGAAATAATCAAAAAAACATTAGACCGTGTGGAAATGGACATACTTACTTTAAGGCTGAAAGAAAAAGAAGAAACAGAATACTTTCAAACTTGGGACCTATTTTATCAATGGTTAGAGAAAAGATTTAGGGATGAGGAATTTAATTTGTATTAGTGAATAAGATACTCAGACAACACGCATTTGTTGAATAATTATTATTGAACTCTGTTAAAAACAATAACAAAACTTAAAAAAAAAATCACCTGCTTCTTAATTCTATCTTTTTTTTTAAATTTGAGGTTTTTTTTATTTATTTACAAAATTAAAATACAAAATCAAGCACTGAAAAAAGTGATTTATGACCGTTTTTCATACTGAATGACCGTTGCAGCATTCCCGTGGTCACGCGATCAAAATTCGGGCGCTTGGCAACTGACTCGTATTTATGACGGTTGCAGTGTCCCGGAGTCATGTGTTCCCCTTGTGCGACCTTCTGACAAGCAAAGTCAATGGGGAAGCCGGATTCACTTAACAACCAGGTTGCTAACTCAGAACCTGCACTGATTCATTTAACAACTGTGGCCAAAAAACTGATAAATTGGAGCAAAACTCAATTAATAACTGTCTTTGTAAAAAACATTATTAATTTTTTTATACAATTCAATAGTACTTATTCAACAACGTATTGTCTGAGTTTACCATTCACTAATACAAATTTAATTCCTAATCCTTTATTCTTTTCTCCAGCCATTGGTAAAATAAGTCCCAAATCTGACAGTATTCTGTTTCTTCTTTTTCTTTCAGCCTCAAAGTAAGTCTGTCCATTTCCGCACATTCTAGTATTTTTTTTAAATTATTTCTTCCTCTGGTGGTAATTCTTCATTTTTCCAATGTTGTGCGAATATCTGTTATCGCGTGTAAAATCAAAATATATACTTTGTTTATCAATCTTTTTTCAATTAATCACTGTCTCGTATCAACAGAAATTTGGGGCTCAGTTTTATCGTAAGTAAGTAGCTATAAATGTTTTATTTATTTGCAAAGTTAAAATACAAAACCCAACAAAGGAAAAAAAGAGGACATAACAAGAACCACAAAGACAAAAAAAGTGTGTGAAGCAAACTGTCAAACATATGCATAAAAAAGGGGTCCCCAACTACCAGGCTATGGCCTATTTCCATGGTGACGAACCTATGGCATGCGTGCCACAGGTGGCACGCAGAGCCCTCTCTGTGGGCACGTGCACTGTCGCCCCAGTCCTAGGCCTTCAGCTGGGTTTTATAAAACCTTTTCGCTTTAGGCCTCCGCCGCCGTGTGCAAAAAAAAAAGTTCAATCAATCAATTTCAACTTCTCGCGGCAAAAAAAAATCGCAAAGTTGGAATTGATTGATTGAACTTTTTAGTCCCACCCAGTCTGCCGTTACCACTGCAGCCACGCCCACCCAATTGGCCACAATCACCCAATTGGCCACGTCCACCCAGCACCCGACGATACATAAGTGGGTTTTGGGTTGCAGTTTGGGCACTCGGTCTCTAAAAGGTTCGCCATCACTGGCCTATTTGGAACCGGGCCGTGCGAGAGGCAGGCCGATGCGCGCGCACAGCTCTCTTCCTCTGAGTGGCACCCCAAAGTTTTCTCTCTTACATGACTACGGGGATCCTGCAACTGTTCTGTGAAAAATGGTCAGAAGTCAGTTTTGTCAGTGCCATTGTAACTTCGAATGGTTGCTAAACACACTGTCGTAAGACTACCTGTATCGCATTTATTGCACCTGGATTGCAATATTTTTGAGCCATCCGAAGCAGTGAATTCTTGGGGGGGGGGGAAGCTTCATTTTCATGCACCAAAGGCAAACATTCATGCTTGTTTTTGCAACCCGAGCTGGGCTACCTAAGCTGACCTTTGTGCAAAAAACAAACAAAAAAAAACAAAAAAAAAACCAGGCAAAACAAAAGCCAAAGGAGAGGAAAGGCAGAATTAGCTTGGGACGTGGTGTTAACAGTTCACAAAAACTTTCTCTTGAATGCCCCTTCTGTGCTTTATTGTTCAAAGGGAACGGGAGAGGAGAAAAAGGAAGTCATTTGCATGTATTTTTCCCCGAGGTTTTCACTAGGGAAGCCGTTTTGAAAGACATGGAAACTGGGGGGAAAACACAAATATGCAATGGGACTCCTGCCCCCCCCCGCTGCCCAACTTCCTAGTAATTGTTCACTAATAAATGATGTCAGACCAGTGTTTTCCCCCGTTTCGAACATGTGAAGCTGTTGTCAGGCATCTGGAATCTGATTAGGTCGGGAGCTGTTTTTGTGCATTTCTGTGTGTGTAGGCTTGTGTGTGAAAACCACGTGCCTGTAGTCACAACAACTACCAGACCCCCAAAGTTTCAGCTTGTTGGGAGGTGGACGGACGCTATGTCTGCAGAAGGAGGTGGGGAAAGAGAAGAGGGTAGCCAGAACTGTGCTATGTACAGATAGTCCTTGACTTATGACTGCATTTGAGGCCAGAAATTTAACCTCACCAGGTTAAGTGAGTCGCATCCCAATTTTATGACCTTTTCTGCAAGCAGATCAGGCAGTTGTTAAACAGATCAGAGAGTCATTAAATAAGTCCGCTCTCTCTATTTACTTTGCTTGTCGGAATGCTGGCTAGCAAGGTCGCAAATGTGGATCATGCAACTTACAGGGACGTTACAGCCAGGTTAGACAAGTTTGCTGTTATAGAAATGGCTAATATATACTATTGCAGGGGTGGCTAATATATACTATTGCAGGGGTGGCACGGGTGCCAGAGGCGGCACTCAGAGCCCTCTCTGTGGGCACGCGCGCCGTCGCCCCAGTCCTAGGCCTTCAGCTGGGTTTTATAAAACCTTTTCGCTTTAGGCCTCCACCGCCGTGTCCCCCCCCAAAAAAGGTTCAATCAGTCAATTTCAACTTCTCACGGGAAAAAAAAGATCTTGCAAAGTTGGAATTGATTGATTGAACTTTTTAGTCCCACCCAGTCTGCCGTTACCACCACAGCCACGCCCACCCAATGGGCCACACCCACCCAATGGGCCACACCCACCCGGCACCCGACGATGCATACGTGGGTTTTGGATTGCAGTTTGGGCACTCGGTCTCTAAAAGGTTTGCCATCACTGTACTATTGTATAAAATAAAAAGTTGAGCTGTAATGTAATATTCTACTGTGCCAAAGACATTTGGAAGTCAATGCCTTTTTTTCCCCCTTTTTCCCTTTCTACCCTACATTTCCTCTTTTTTTCCCCCTTTTTCCTTTCCCCCAGTTTTCGATTCCTTTTTATTTTGCTTTGCATCTTATATTTGGATAAAATTAATAAAATTTGATACAAAAAAGGGGGGGTTGCAAGTTGCAGCTGAGTCAGTTGCATGCCTCTGGTCTATCAATGATATCTGCAAAGTCCAAAGGGGAGAGGAGATCCTTCTTTAAATCTTGGTTTTGTGCTTTTGTTCTTCAGATTGCCTTTTCAAAGTGTGTCCCATGAACCGCTATTCTGCGCAGAAACAGTACTGGAAAGCGAAACAAGCGAAACAAGGCAACCACACCGAAGCGGCCTTGTTGAAGAAGCTACAAGTAAGAGGCGCCGAGCTCCTGGCTGTCTTTCTGTAGCCCACAAAGCCTTGTTTTGTCTAAAGGTGGTTGGTTCAGAAACCACGATCGGCTGAGTTCACATATCCACCAAGTCGAAAGGAACGGAGTCCCATTTGTGGTTTAGAACAGGAGTTTCTCAATCTCGGCAACTTTAAGAATGCTGGAAGTTGAAATCCATACATCTTAGCTAAGGTTGAGAAACATTGGTATAGATCAGAGGTCCCCAACCTGTGGGACTGCATTTTACCAGGAAACGTAGATAGGGCAGGCTATAAAGGTCAGTGCCCTCCTAGCCAAGCACTCCGAGTTTGTTGGCGATGTCCATTTTGCTCTATGAGTTCATGGTGACCTAACCCTAACCCTAAGTGGAATTTTCCTCCAATGGGATTTTCCCATGTATTTTACCAGGAAACAAAGGGCAGCCTACAAAAGTAAGTGCCCTCCTAACCATATCCAAGCACTCAGAATTTGTTGGCGATGTCCATTTTGCTCTATGAGTTCATGGTGACCTAACCCTAACCCTAAGTGGAACTTTCCTCCAATGGGATTTTCCCATGTATTTTACCACAAAAGATAAATAGGGCAGTCAAGAAAAGTCAGTGCCCTTCTAACCATACCCAAGCACTCCGAATTTGTTGGCGATGTCCATTTTGTTCTCCGAGTTCATGGTGACCTAACCCTAACCCTAAGTGGAATTTTCCTCCAATGGATTTTCCCATGTATTTTACCAGGAAACGTAGATAGGGCAGGCTATAAAAGTAAGTGCCCTCCTAACCATACCCAAGCACTCCGAATTTGTTGGTGATGTCCATTTTGCTCTATGAGTTCCTGGTGACCTAATCCTAACCCTAAGTGGAATTTTCCTCCAATGGGATCTTCCCATGTATTTTACCAGGAAACATAGATAGGCCAGACTATAAAAGTCAGTGCCCTCCTAGCCATACCCAAGCACTCCAAGTTTGTTGGCGATGTCCATTTTGCTCTCCGAGTTCATGGTGACGTGACCCTAACCCTATAGGGTTTCCTACTTGAGGAGGGGTTGGACTAGAAGACCTCCAGGATTCCTTCCAACTCTATTATTCTGTTAATAACTCAGTTGGACGTATTAACTTGCAGCATGCAGCTGAACTGGAACAGAAGCAGAACGAATGTGAGAACCGGAAGTTGCTGGGGGAAATTGTAAAATACAGCAATGTGATCCAGGTGAGTTTTTGAAAGCCACAAAGAGATTAGGGGGGGTTGTGGCCCAAGTGGGTTAGAGCAGGGGTCTTCAAACTTGGCCCTTTAATGACTTGTGGACTTCAACTCCCAGAATTCCTCAGCCAGGCACGCTGGCTGAGGAATTCTGGGAGTTGAAGTCCACAAGTCATAAAAGGGCCAAGTTTGAAGACCCCTGCTTGTGGACTTCAACTCCCAGAATTCCTCAGCCAGGCACGCTGGCTGAGGAATTCTGGGAGTTGAAGTCCACAAGACATAAAAGGACCAAGTTTGAAGACCGCTGCTTATGGACTTCAACTCCCAGAATTCCTCAGCCAGGCACCCTGGCTGAGGAATTCTGGGAGTTGAAGTCCACAAGACATAAAAGGACATTCCCAGACCAGATATTTTTCTCATTTTGAGGAAAACTTGAAGAGGTGCCCCTGATTTGCTTAGAAGCCAAGGAATAAAACAGGCTCTGAAGGCCGATCCTAACAAAAGGATAAGTCATTCAGCAGAGGCTACAGATGGTCCTTGCTTTACAACAGTTCGCTTAGCGACCGTTTGAAGATACAACGGCACTGAAAAAAGTGACTTGTGACCCTTTTTCACACTCGCGACCGTTTGCAGCCTCCTCGTGGTCACGTGATCAAAATTCAGACGCTTTGGCAACTGACTCGTATTTATGACGGTCGCAGCGCCCCGGAGTCACGTGATCCCCTTTTGCGACCTTCTGACAAGCAAAGTCAATGGGGGAAGCCGGATTCACTTAACAACCATGTTACTAACTTAACAACTGCAGTGATTCACTTAACAGTGGTGTCCAGGAAGGTCATAAAATGGGGCAAAACGCACTTAAGCATCTTGCGTAGCAACATAAATTTCTGGCTCAATTGTGGTCATAGGTCGAGGACTCCCGATACTTTCGTTATCCTTGCATGACCAGCTATAAGTATCTCAGGGATGGGTCCTTTAATTTGATTAACAAAACACCCTGCATATTTATGCATAATGTTATTGAAGTACCATATTTATTGCAAATATATCCCGCATTTTCTCCAGAAGCTCAAGGTACTACTACACGTAGTTATGTCCCCTATTTATCTCGTAGCTCTCCCGAGTTCACTGACCTAGAGTAACCCAGTCAGCACTACGATTCAATGGTGGTTTAAACTTTGATCTCTCTCTGGACCAAGTGTAACGTTTTAAATTTAGAACTGTTCAAGGTACAAGAATTTCCTTTAAAAAAACAGAAAAAAAACCAGTCCTCATTAATAAAAGGAATCTTTGGCAAAAAAAAGGAAAATAAAAAAATCCAGTCAAAAATTCCAGCTCTCAGGTGGTTTATAGACAAGGAAAATTAAATGAGGAAATTGAAAATAGGAAGTCATTTTGCCGCCTTGAAGCTTCGGGAGGACTGAATGACTTGATCTAAGGGCGGCTGAGTCATCTTCCATCGAGACCGTTTTGTAGCTAATGTGTAGCTTACTCAGAGCTGCCTGAAAAAGCCACAATCACAGTGATAGGATATCATGGGTCTTGTGCCATCCGCCAGATAAGGCGAGTGACGTGCTGGCATCATTTTGCCAGTTCACAATTGGGGCCATTTGTCGGTTGTGGAGAGTTGATATCGTTTCCAATGTGAGAACGGTAAATTAATAGCAATAGCAGAAATAGCCCTTAGATTTATATACTGCTTCGTGGTGCTTTTACAGCCCTCTCTAAGCAATTGACAAATGTCAGCATATGGCCCCCAACTATCTGGGTCCTCATTATACCAACCTTGGAAGGATGGAAAGCTGAGTCAACCTTGAGCCTGTCAAGATCAACTCCTGACTGTGGAAGGGAGGAAGGAAGGAAGGAAGGAAGGGTGGGAGGGAGGGAGGGAGGGAGGGAGGGAAGAAGGGAGGAAGGAGGGGAAGGAAGGGAGGGAGGGTGGGAATGAGGAGGGAGGGAGAAGGTGAAGGAAGGAAGGGAAGGAGGGAGGGAGGGAGGAAGGAACGAACAGCAATAGCCCTTAGACTTATATACTGTTTCATAGTGCTTTAAAGCCCTCTCTAAGTGGCATTTTACCGACCTCAGAAGGAGGAAGGCTGAGCCAACCTTGAACCTGTCAGGATCAAACTCCTAAATGTGGGCAGAGTTTGTCTGCAGTGCTGCATCCTAACCACTGCACCACCATGGAAGGAAGGAAGGAAGGAAGGAAGGAAGGAAGGAAGGAAGGAAAGAAAGAAAGAAAGAAAGAAAGAAAGAAAGAAAGAAAGAAAGAAAGAAGGAAGGGAAGGGAAGGAAGGAAGGAAGGAAGGAAGGAAGGAAGGAAGGAAGGAAGGAAGGAATAAAGAATGGCGGAATAATAGAATTGGGAAAGGGAAGAAAGGAAGGAAGGAAGGAAAAAAGAATGGTGGAATAACAGAATTGTCAGGATCAAACTCCTGGCAGTGGGCAGAGTTTGCCTGCGATGCTGCATTCTAACCACTGCAGCACCGCAACTCCTAAATTAAGCCAGTTTGTATTGCGGTTAGCCAAGTTCTTGATTCCATTCCCACTGAAGGTAGACAGTCACAAGAGGTTTCCTCACGTTCTAATTAGCATAGGACACGCCTTAGGCTGAATCTTAACCCAACGGTTGCGTCTGAATGCATGGATCTTATTTATTTTCCTCACCGACAGCTCCTTCATATCAAGAGCAACAAGTACCTTACCGTCAATAAGAGGTTGCCAGCCTTGCTGGAAAAGAATGCCATGCGGGTTTCTTTGGATACGGCCGGGAATGAAGGCTCCTGGTTCTACATCCAGCCCTTTTGGAAACTACGGAGCGAAGGGGACAATGTAAGTGAGCGAAATACGCAGATGCTGGAATTTTGATTTACTTTGGCCATGTCGTGCGTGCAAATTCATTGGAGAAGTCCATGAGGCTAGGAATGGTTAGTGGAACAAGAAGAAGGGCAAGCAAAGAACACGCTGGCTTGATAACGTCAAAACCGGGACAAAAATGATTCACCCAACAACAGAAAAAAAGCACAGAGAGTTCTTGCCTGTAAAGCAGGAGTCTTCAGACTTGGCCCTTTGATGACTTGTGGACTTCAACTCCCAGAATTCCTCAGCCAGGCACGCTGGCTGAGGAATTCTGGGAGTTGAAGTCCACAAGTCATCAAAGGGCCAAGTTTGAAGGCCCCTGACATAATGTGAGGGGGAAATAATGCTAACTCAGAAAGAGCTAAACTGGTGTTTCTCAACCTCGGCCATTTTAAGAGGTGTGGACTTCAACTCCCAGAATTCCTCAGCCAGCAAATCATATCCTCAAATCACAAATCATAAAAAGGCCAAGTTTGAAGAACCCTGCTGTAAAGTCACCAAGAATCGGACACAACTGAACGGTTAAGTTTCTGTGGAGATTTTCAGTCGTCCAGGTCCTGGTTGTCGGCGAAGGTGCTCTTCCAAAAGGCAACTGGACTTTCTTTGTTTTTTCCTTGAAGACGTTTCGCTTCTCATCCAAGAAGCTTCTTCAGAATCGAAACGTCTTCAAGGAAAACCAAAGTCCCGTTGCCTTTTGACAAAGCACCTGTGGGACGATCGAACGGTTAAACACCTATCAGAATATTGTCACCTCTGTAGTCAAAAATCAGTCGGGAAACACCTTGTTGTCCTTCCTTGGTGAGGTGTCAACACCTGGCTCCTTGCACCTTGAAATGTTATTTTACAAAGGCAGTCGTCAGATAGAATCTGCATTGAAAGGAGCAACTTTTGCAGTTCCATGATCCCTCTCGGGCAAGGCAATGTCAAACGGAGGAGAAACCAAGTTTGAATGAGGTCACAGCCTTACTCAAAAGTTCTGGCTGTGTCAGCAAACCCAGATAGAGTTTTAAATGTAGTGCTTAATGAATCAGAACAGCTTCTGATAAGTGAAGCCCACAGTGGTGCTCAGGAAATTGTAGTGGTGTCCTCAGTGATCAGGAAGGGCCTTACCTTCTCCTCAGGCTGAAGAAATGAAGGCAAGTTAAGTATCTCATCTGCTGGAGCACTTGAAGCAAATACTTGGAGCTTGTTTGGTGGACTAAGGCAGGGGTTCCCAACCTATGGTCTGTGGCCCGGGACTGGGCCATGGGCTCTTGGCCAACGGGCCGTTGAAACGGCTGGCCCTTGCGCACACGTGTGGGTACGCATTTCCCCTCCACTCGCGCTAGCGCCCGCAGCCCTGTTTGCGCATGTGAGTGGGCACAAATGGGAATGCTAGCGTGGGACGGGTGTCCGCAGCCCATTTGCGCATGCGCCACTAGCCCAGGTGATTTGCGCTGCGAATGGGCCGCTAGCCGCCACGGGGGGTGCGCAGCCGTTCACGCATGCGCACGGTGCCAATGCATGCTGTATGCGTGAATGGGGCTGCTAGTGCTGCACCAGTGTGCGTGGCCCAATGTGCACCAATTTTGAAGCTGCGCTCCTTCCCTACGGTCCTTGAACCTGGAAAGGTTGGAGATCTAATAATAATAATAATAATGATAAAGTTGGAAGGGACCTTGGAGGTCATCTAGTCCAACCCCCTGCTCAGGCAGGAAACCCTGTACCATTTTGGACAAATGGCTGTCCAGTTTCTTTTTAAAAACTTCCAGTGTTGGAGCATTCACCGCTTCTGGAGGCAGGTTGTTCCACTGGTTAATTGTTCTAACTGTCCATCTCTTAGTCCATCTCTGGACTAAGTCATCTCCCACTTTCAGACTTCCTTTGAATTCCTGGCCATGTTCCCCAAATATAGAAACCCAGATCCCAGAGTTGTAATATTTGCATCCTCACCTGCTTATCTTCTCCAATTCCCTTTCGTACGTTCAAGGGTCAAGACCTTATGTTGACAAAACCCTTCCACCTAGGATCCGAATCCAATGCTTTTAAGACAGACTGAGATAGCTTCTCCAAAGCCGTAGTAGAGTAACACCAGAATGGCAAGAAACAACCTGTGTCTAGCTGGAGCTGTCCCAAAGCTGAATTCAGAGACAGGGTTTCCCCTCTGTGATCTCAAGCACATCTTAATATTGTCTTCGTGATTGCTCCTTTCAGCCAATTTGTAACTACTGATTCAATCCTGCAGGTTTCTTTTGCTAATACTCTCTCTGCCCTGACGTAGCTGTAAGTTGTTTTCTTTTTCAGCAGCATGGCATGCAGTGCACCCCGCGTTAAGTACAACTGTGTGTAGAAAGGTTGTGATCTTATTGTGGATGTTCTGATATTCGAGGAGTAGCACAATAAGACACTTGCACGAGTTATCGGCTGAGTGATTTTGGTCTGTGATTGTCTCCACTTTCCAATTTGTGACAAAAACAAGAGAAAAATTCGTGGAAGCCATATCGTTCATTTTGGCTTTTTGCTACTTACTTGCCACAAACCATTATGTATTTAAAGAAGTACGAATGTATTGGTAAATTCTGCCATGAAACCTTGCTTCCCAGACGTTTTGTAGCACGCTATGATGAATTACAAGGAGTTGGATCACCTGTTTTCAGTGCTCTGTTGTGGGTGCTGGTGCACTTGTAACTTTGCCCTTGTGATGAGCTGCCCGTGCATGTTTGCTTGGTCATTTCTATTGAATCTCGAACTTCTTCTGTTTCAAGATGCGTGTGGAATTGCACGAGCCCCGAAAATGTATGGTGTATATGGAGTCCTTGGTGCTCTCTGAGCTTGCTTATTGTAGATCAGGTTAAGTCCATAAATGCTGCAGAATTCCTGGAAGCCTGGCACTTGAACACATCAGCCATCAACAGGCGCATAAACAACGTTTACACCCCATTGGAAAGAGACAATAAAAAAAGCTAAGAAGAAAAAATAAAATACCGAAACATCACCTCACCAGCAATCAACATCCAGATTAGTAGAGATGATCACCAGGTGTCATGGTTCCGACAGATGAAACTCTTCAATAGAACTTCGAGGCATTGTTTACCTTAAAGAATCTTTTATTCGAGTAGCATAATGTCGGCACTACATAATCAAAGACAAAAACTGAATTCCCCTCCCCTGGGCACATATTATCAAAGCACAATTCCCTCTTCCAATTAATAGTCATAAATCACATTCGCCACTTAGCTTGAAGCGTGGGCTTCCTCTCCAGCTCTCCATCCCGCAAATTCTTTATCAGTTCTGGGCTCAATAACCTTGATTCTCAGCTAAGTTTAGTGTTGTTATGTCTAATTAGACTCTTCTTCACATCCCCCCCTGCCAGCATCATCAAAAGGAAAAAGATGGCTACATTTCCATCTGTTGTCAATGCAAAAACATCCGATGTTAGCAGCGTTGACACCAGGATTAGTACCAGACCAATCAAGCAGCAAACAATACCCTAATAAGGAACATCAAGAACGCTCCCGTGAACACTGACAGGTCAAGCCACTTGGATATAAACATAGAGCAGATCCTTCTAGCACTGATGATGTTACCTAGCTTGGTAATGAAACATCTGCAAGAAAACAATGGAGCTCAGAGAGCACCAAGGTCTTCACAGTCCTCTTCTTCCTCCTCCTCTCTCTCCACCCTCCTTTTTCATTCTCCTCCATTCCACAAACCCCACTCCCTTCTAAGCACTGATGATGTTACCTAGTTAGGTAATGAAACTTCTGCAAGAAAACCACCAAGCTCAGAGAGCACCAAGGACCTCACAGTCTTCCTTCTCTTCCCTTCTAGCACTGATGTTGTTACCTAGTTGGGTGAGGAAACATCTGCAAGAAAACTACCAAGCTCAGAGAGCACCAAGGACTCCACAGTCCAACCCTGAGCTACAAATATTCTCTTCTCTTGATGCATGGTGCATCTGGGAGGAAAGAGGGGAGGAACTCTCTAGAGCAATTTATGGAATGATGTTAATATATGTTCTGAGTTGAGGAAATCATGGCACTGAAAATATATAGAAGCAGGTTGGCTGCAGGATAAAAATAATTATAATCCCAAACCACAAAGAATAGAATAGAATAGAATAGAATAGAATAGAATAGAATTATAGAATAGAATTAAAGAATAGAATAGAATTACAGAATAGAATAGAATTACAGAATAGAATTACAGAATAGAATAGAATTACAGAGTAGAATTACAGAATAGAATAGAATAGAATTACAGAATGGAATTACAGAATAGAATAGAATAGAATTACAGAATGGAATAGAATAGAGTTACAGAATAGAATAGAATAGAATTACAGAATAGAATAGAATTACAGAATAGAATAGAATTACAGAATAGAATTACAGAATAGAATAGAATTACAGAATAGAATAGAATTACAGAATAGAATAGAATTACAGAATAGAATTACAGAATAGAATGGAATAGAGTACAGTAGAATAGAATTACAGAATAGAATTATAGAATAGAATAGAATTACAGAATGGAATGGAATGGAATGGAATGGAATAGAATAGAATAGAATAGAATAGAATAGAATAGAATAGAATAGAATAGATAACCCTTATTGTCATTTTTTACTGTGGGCACATTGGCACACATTAAAAATGAAATTTTGTGGCTTGCTCTCAAAAGTGTACATATATATAACACACATTTAAACATGCTATATACAACGTATGTATACCTGTAAATAATATAAATATTAATCATCGCCCATCTTACTGGGTTCTTACTGGGCAAGGGATATCGGGTATATTCACAGTAAGAATCCACGATGTGAGATAGAATCCAGATTATAGAAATAACCAACAGAAATAAAGTGATTTTTTTTAAAAAAAAGAATGATAATACGTGACTCTTTTTATAACTTCAGATTGTTGTCGGAGACAAAGTTGTCCTGATGCCAGTTAATGCTGGACAACCGCTACACGCCAGCAACATAGAGCTCTTAGATAATCCAGGATGCAAGGAGGTAGGTTTGATGAGGATTTATCCATCTAACTAGGTTTGTTTTGGTAGGTTGCAGTTAAGTGGTCATCCCCGGTGGAAGCTTGTTCCCAAAAGAGCTGATCAGGATCAACTTCCTGTTGTCACTGGCATCATGCGTTGCCTGGCAATAACTTGATCCACATTATTAGCAGCCAATCACATTCTTTGCTAGCATACAAGCAATCCTCGACTTACAGCCATTGGTTTAGTGACTGCTCAAAGCTACAACGGCGCTGAAAAAAAGTGACCTATGACCATTTTTCACACTTACGACTATTGCAGCATCCCGATGGGTCATGTGATCAAAATACGGGTGCTTGGCAACCGGCATGTATTGATGACTGTTTGCAGTGTCCCGGGGTCAGTTGACACCCTTTTGCGACTTTCTGACAAGCAAAGTCAACAGAGGAAGCCAAATTCACTTAACAACTGTAGCAAGAAAGGTTGTAAAATGGGGCAAAACTCACTTAACTGTCTTGTTTGGCGACAGAAGTTTTGGGCACAATTTGGTCACCATTCAAGGACTACCTGTGTATATGAAATTACAGTGTTACTTACAGTAGCGGCCAAAATGGTGGAAACCTTTTGGGAAAAGTGTCCAGTAGAAATGCCACCTTTAGTTAAGTTTCCACCCATTTTTCTTCTAATTTCTTTATAACTGTAGCCTTGTTCACTTAATAATACTATTTTACATCGCTTTCTGGACGACCAGTCAACTCTTTGCACCATTACTTTAATTTTATTACGTTTTGCAAGCTCACTAAATGAAAGAACACAAAAAAACCCCAACCAACTTGATAGGGATCACATAACACACTGACAAATGTCCTCCTCTCATCTTCAATACGTGACAGCAATCACTGAATCCTACCGTGATCCGATTGGCTCATGGCCAAAACAAGATGACACCCGATTGGCTCTCTAAACACTCACGCTCATTGGCTACAATCAGATGAAGGAAAGCTACCTGAGATCAACCTAAGCAAGTTGTGCTTCCTTTTTCTGGTTATTTGGCTATAACGTTTCATAGAATACAGTACAGATAATTGAACCAACTTTGTTGCATTACATTCTCGATTAAATTATCTTTCCACTGATATATAATTTTATGGTACTACTCCAAGAAAAAAGTGGTGTTATTAGCCATCAAACCTCAAAAATTCACTTTTCCCAAAAGGTTTCCACAATTTTGGCCACTACTGTATGTATGACTGCTATATAACCTAGTCTTTTCGTGGCCGTGTCCATGGAGATTCTCAGTCATCCAAGTTATGGATGTCCCAAAACTGCTTTTCTCCAAATGGCAACTGGTCTTTCTTGATTTTTCTCAAAGATGTTTCGCTTCTCATACAAGAAGCTTCTTCAGTTCTAAAAAAACTGGTGAGGAACGGAAAGGATTTCTACTCTTTTTGGTCTTTTGAAAAGAGAAAGAATTCACTTCTTGGATGAGAAGAAAAATCAAGAAAGACCAGTTGCCACTTGGAGAAAAGCACTTTTGGGTTTTTGTGGCCATATAACCTAGTGGCCATATTTATACAAATATGGGATTGAACTATGAGATTATCAGTCTATTAAGTAATATTAAGCCAGGATTTGCTCAAGTATCCCCTGATATATAACTTATTTCTATTATTTTTAACACCTTCATTTGAGTTTTTTTTTTAGATAGAGCAGCAAGTCCTGTTGGGGACTAATGGACAGCTTTACAGGAAGAAAGTTATTTTAACAAAAAAAAAAAGGATATTAAATAGATATGGGTAAACAGTAATGCCAGAGTGTAACACAATAAAAACTTTTCTGTGTGGCTGTTTCATGACATAATTGAATGATTCTTGGTGTCCTTGAATGCAGGTCAATGCAGTCAATTGTAACACCAGTTGGAAAATCACCTTGTTCATGAAATTTAGTTGCTACAGAGAAGATGTGCTTAAAGGGGTAAGTATGGATGAGCTGTTTTTCATTGTTATAAAATTTAATTCCTTTCCATAGCTCCTGATTTTAGCTATTCTTATGATCCACAGGTAATGTTTCAAGCTGTTCTGAAACATACGTATTATAGGATGGTCCTTCTTTAGTCCTGTTTATCCATCTTCAAAAATGATTATTTCTTTGCACACGTATCCTGTGCTTTTCCATCCTCTCAGAAAAATTGCAAGTCAGAAGCCATAAACAAGGATGAGGCAGCCTCTAGATCAGGGGTCTTCAAACTTGGCCCTTTTATGACTTGTGGACTTCAACTCCCAGAATTCCTCAGCCAGGCACGCTGGCTGAGGAATTCTGGGAGTTGAAGTCCCACAAGTCATAAAAGGGCCAAGTTTGAAGACTCCTGCTCTAGGCTTATGGGACCTCACAGTTGTGAACTTTTGCACCAAAAAGCTGATGCCAAATGGACCAAATTTTGATAACCATCACTTCCTCCCTCTACCCAACATAAGATTGAAGAGTGGTTTTTTTCATAAATCTTATTTGATTCTTCTTCCACTAATATCCCTTAATTAAAATAAAATATTAATCTATCCTATACGTATCTAATCCCAATTAATCAATCTCTTTAAGCTGACAAAAAAAATCAAACTTTAAATCATTTCAATCCATTAAACAGAATTCAAATTTCATCCAATTAATTATCATAACTAATAACATCCATGTTATCAAACAAACAAATCATCTTATTAGGTGAATTACATTACATAATAATTTTCTTACAAGTAACCTATCGTCCTAAAAAACAACCCCTCATATATTTAAACTCATATATCTTCCATTAGTCCCCCATTTCTCTTACATCTGACTCATAATCATAATCCTTAAACCAATCCATAATTCTAGGTTGCCTACGGAACTAGAATATATTTGGAAGGGATACCCGAATTGATAATGTTTGTACTTAAAGTTAATTTGATTATGGTAGTGTAAATTTATAAAGCTTTAAAACAGGTATAGGTCAAATAACGTTAAGCTAGAATTGGACTATTTTAAATAAACTATGTTACTTAAGGGGAAAAGAGAGGGAATACTAGATGTATTGACTGAATTATGTATATATATGTATTATGTATATATGTTTTCTCTTTGAATGTCTGACTACCCTAACACCACGGTGTGTCTTGAATACTTTGTCTCAAAAACCAAAAAACCAATAAAATTTCTTTAAAAAAAAAAAAAGATTGAAGAGTGGGAAGTGTTTGTGAGGCCATTTTTTTCATTCTTTAGGCCAGGGCTTTTCAACCTTTTCACCCATTGTACCCCTTTTAGGATATGGCTATATCCGAGTACCACCAGGCGCCTAGCAAGGTGTCAAAAACTTGAGGATCAAAAAACAAAAGTAAAAAAGTAATGAAGTACAGGTAGTCCTTGACTTACAACAGTTCGCTTAGTAACTGTTTGAAGTTACAATGGCACTGAAAAAAGTGCCCCCCAAGGCACAGCCAAGCAAGACACCTGCCTGCCTGCCCGCCCGGTGGCGCTCTTCCTCCTGTCCGAGGTTTTCATTGTTGTGAGCATTTCTGTTGAGGATTGGGGGTGAGGGTGGGGTGGGGGGGTATTCGGTTTTTATTCCCCCCGTCTGCTGGGTGGTTGCAGCAGGTTTTGGTCACTTCATATGACCCTGGGACACTGTGACCGTCATAAATATGAATCACTTGCCAAGCATCTGAATGTAAATCACAAGACCCTGGAGATGCTGCAACATTCCAGCTGATCGGCGCTTCTTCTAGGCTCAGCAGAAGCACCAGGATCAGCGCTGAGCTCCAGCTGGAGCCTGGCACTGATCCTGGCGCTTCCACTGAGCCCTGACAGCCCTGCAGCTCCAGCCGTCTCTCGCTCAGGCTTGTGTGGTGCTGCCACCGGTTCAGCTCATTCCCCTCCCCTCTACCACTTTTCTAGGATGGTCGCGTACCACCTGCCAGGTGCCAATGTACCACAGGTGGTACCCGTACCACTGGTTGAAAAGCCTTGCTTTAGGCGCTCTGTCCTGGCAAACTGATGAAGATTGCATCCCACAACGTCCCTCAGTCTGATTCTCACTTTAACTCCTTCTCATGAAAAAAAACAAGATGGCGTTTTTGGTTTTGGGTCTTCCAGGGTCATCGTCTGATGACCCCTCTTCACTCTGCAGCAATTTGGCCTCTCTGCCCTAAACGTTATGGAAAACGTATAAATCGGTGTTGCTCAACCTGAAGATGGGCGACTTCAACTCCCAGAATTCCTCGGCCGGCCATGATGGGAGTTGAAGTCCAGCCATCTTGAAGTTGCCCAGATTGAGAAAAACTGATCTACAGAGTATAGTAAACCTAACAAAACACACTCTTTCCCTATTTGTGTGTGTGTGTGTGTGTGTCACTCTCTCATTCTCTCTCTCTCTCTCTCTCCCTCTTTCTTTCCATCTCTCCATCTATTCAGGGAGATGTTGTCAGGCTGTTCCATGCCGAACAGGAGAAGTTTCTGACCTGCGACGAATACCAGCAGAAGCAACACATTTTCCTTCGCACAACTTTGCGGCAATCAGCCACTTCAGCAACCAGTTCTAAAGCCTTGTGGGAAATAGAGGTATTTGGGGGAGAGACGCTCCCTACCTGGGCTCCGTATTCCTTGTAACAGCTTTAGCCACACTGATACCCGCACTTTTTTTTAAGGGGTGTGTGGGGGGTGTCAGATGAGCTGTTGCCATCTTTGTGTTGATATTTTTAAAGGACCAGGTTGGTCTGAGGTCGCTTGAATCTGGTCTTGCCTGATCTGGACCTCACGGTTTCAGCCAGTGGTCTACGAGGAAATCCACCTCAGCCACGCAAACTCAAGGGCCATGTCAACACAAAGATGGCAACAGCTCACCTGATCCAAAAAACAAAACAAAACGTGAAGATGTAGGAATACAACGACTGAAAGGTGAAACCTGGATCGGTTTGGGTTTTGCAATTAGCAGTTCCTAGTTTTCCTCAGACCAATGGCTCCTGTAGTAGCTGCAATAGGAACTATCTTAACAAGAGTTTTGTCCCCGAATCTCCATTTATGAGACTTCTTGGAGAGATGGTA